ACCAGTGGATCGTGGTAGTTGGAGACTACACCATAAGATGGATGGAGGCATATGCGCTCCCGGATGCAAAGGCAGAAACAGTTGCCTCGAAGTTTTTCAGAGAATTGGTTTGTTGATTTGGAGTGCCGAGGGAGGTCCATTCAGATCAAGAGACCAATTTCGAATCGGAGGTATTTCAGGAAATGTGTCGGCTACTGGGAATAAGTAAGTCAAGAACAACAGCATACAGTCCTAAATCAGACAGGCTCATAGAAAGGTTCTATAAGACTCTTGTCATCATGGATTCTCTGATGATCGACCCGCCCAAAGGTCAACACGATTGGGACCAATACCTCCCATTCACAACCAGTGCATACAGATGTACGACACAGGAGAGCCTGGGGAAATGATGATGTTAGGCCGAGAAGTCACCCTCCAGATTGATCTAGCGATTGAGCAACCGGCTCCAAGTGATGACGTGGCAAAAAGTGTCTATGCACAAAGTTTGAGGGACCAGATGAGGAATGCTCACGAGAGGGCGCATAAATGCCTGGGAAAGGCTAGAACGGGAGACAATGTTGAAAAAAGGAGGCGATACCCCAAACAAGAGCATAAGCTACCAATAAGATACCGGTAACATCTGCACCATTATGAATTTATGAATAAGGAATAACTAATTAATTGCTTCCTCTGGTATATTGCAGACGTTGAGTCAAGCATCAATAAGGTAGCATAGCCAAGATAGAAATGGAAGTCGGAGCAAACATTGAGTTCTCATGTACCAGGTGCCCGAAGAAGTTTACTCACTTAAGAGGGCTACTCCAGCACAAGAAAATCCATGGGCCCCCCTGTATCTGTACTGCCGCAGATGTAACTACAAGGACTTGCGGCGGGATAACCTTAGACGCCACCACAAGACCACCCACTAAGAGCATCTTCCCGATCTACATGACATAAAGCCAGGGCAGAGCCAGGAAGAAAGTCAGGAGGCAGACCGGGCGGAGCCAGCAAAAGAAGAAAGGAGACTGGTAACAGAAAAGGCTGCCAGTCCCACTGGAAGAAGCAGCCCTGATCCCAAGATCAGCATACCTTGGGAGAAGTTCAGGAAAAATCCCAGACCCTTGTCACCACTTAGGGCATCCCCAGACCGGAAGGAGCAGCAGACAGAAGAAGGTCATCCGAGCACACTCCCTCTGGAAATCGATACTCCTCCAGAGGGTGCCCTGAGCAACAAGGAGGCAGTAGCAACTCCTCCTTCCCCCTTGCCAAAGAAGATGCCATTCACTTGAAGAAGCCAGTCAACCAAGGACGCAAAGAGGTTTGAGCTACGGAGGCCTAGGATCCCCAAGACGGCAACCATCGTGGAGGAGATACACACCAGGACCTTTGTGGACAACATTGATATACATCGCAAAGTCAGGCAGCAAAAATATTACCAAGACATCTTAGTGGATTGTTCTCTTGTACTCCCAAAGTAATTTTACCATATGGGTCGAGGCTTTTCCCGTCCCAGACCAGACACCGGAGGGATATTTTATTTCCAATTAAAACATTTATTTTTGCACAATGAATCAAAATTGCATTAAAAGAATTATACTACCAAAGCTGAAGATAACCTCGTTATGTAAATGAAGGATCAAAGGTTGTTGACCCTACACTTTTGGTAAGCATCTAATTGAAAGAATTACACAATGCTGTTTATGTAAACAATTGTTCTTGTTCGACAGGTTCATCAGACACAGTTAAATAAAATTGTTCGGCTTAATTTAAATGAGGGCATTTAGGCCTGTCAGGAGGCTGTGTGACGTGACAGAGAGCGCTAGTCACTAGGCGCGGTGCAAAGTTATAGATGGCGCTCTGCCCAGTAACAGAGGCAGATGTTAGGCACGCATAGCTGTGTGTTAAACGAGCGTGGCGCATAGGCTCCGCCTTGTGCGTAGTGCGATAGGGCAGCGAAAGTCACTGGTTGGTCACGTGAGTGCGTGCGCAGGCGTGGTCACAGCAGCACGAAGGCTATAAAAGGCGCGCACAGGCAAGGTTCAGTCGTCCTGATAAAGGGCTGATCCTGAGGTAAGGGTCGAGAGTCCTGTGCAAGGGTTAAAGTCACCAAGCCTAGTGTGACTGTGCCTAAGTCCCGAGTGGTGCGTGTCGTTGAGGGGCTCGGTAGGTTGAGGGGCAGATTGCTATCTGGTGACATGAGTTGCGTGTAGTGCAGCCCTGACAATAAGCCCCGTAGATTTGCTAAAGTCCCTGATTCGGCACTGGATGCCCACAGTTAATTATGGTTTTCGCTGCTCTGGGCGACGTCCAGTCACGTATAATCACACAGTCTCCTTGTCAATAAGCCACTTCAGAGTTCCAACTGCGCATGCATAAATTGAACTTCACGACCTGGGTCGAGAGACAAACAAAAGCGCTTTGCATCATATACAACGTACGCTATGTGAACGACTCTGCATATGTGGACATGCACGCAACTTATTGCATGTACATGTAGTTCAGCAGGTTGTCTGCATCAGTCACATCTAATGTTTGCTTTTTTGTTAATTTACCGAAAACTGCAAGCTTTTCCTGCTACTTTTGGATCGAGCGGCGTTACTATGCAAAGTCGTTGCCAACTCAACTACACAAATGTATGTAACGTAATGGGTTCATCAACTGCCCGGCACAGGGAAGGTACTGTTGATAGCTCACCGTACAATTGAAAAGTCGAGTCAAACTTTACGCAATTTTTACTTTTTAATTCATTGGAATTCTTATTTTTCGTCTAATTTTCTAAAAATGAAAAAATTCTTTATTAGAAAAGCAACTTTTACAATGGTTCTGACTGAAAATGGATTTTTCGTATGGTTACATTTTATTTGTCTCGATCCTAAACCGATCCAAATGTAAAAGTTTAGATTTTGAAAAAATTGAAGTATATCCAAAACACAAAGTTGACTTCTGACTATATTTCACTCGAATTTGAGGATTTTTTTAGCTTCAGTCTTATTGAATAATTTTTGCGATCCGGAACTAGGAAAATGACTGTACCAAACCTATACGAACAAGAGACCGAAGGAGTTTTGTCTTATGAGGTTGAAGCGCTGTTGATGTACATGTACACTTGCATGACTGTATTTGTAACTTTCAAACCCTGTCGGCCTACATGACTTTTGTGCGGAATTAATAGTGCTTACTGTTTGAGTCAAAGAGTATTTTTGTCAAATAAAACAATATGAATGAAAATTACTTTATGTCGGAATCGAAGACGAAACGAGAGCGGACTGTGTGATATTCCAGCGGTACTGGGACTCCACACGGCGTGCAGTAAGTAGCGATCACGCACAAATTGTGCGGTTGATCGGCCTCTTTTTATAACCAAAGCACTAAATGTGCTCTACAAACCCAAAGAGTCAGAGAACCACTTTAGTTTTTTATACCAAGAAATATGCTATTTCAAAATTATTTTTTACTTAAAGCAACATGAATTTCCTCAGTGACTCAGTGGAACTGTGGATGAGGAATTGAACAAAAAAGCAGGAAGGATGTTTTCTGTATGCACAAAAGCATTTCAAATCTAAGTATTCTTTCATTGGAAAAAAGGGAAATGTTGACAGGTGCAAGTCATAATACAGTCGGCCAATCAAATGTCACTTGTCGAAGTACTTATACATTAAAATCTCGACAATTTGAACCTCGGGGAATGCAGTTCTCCTGAAAAAGTATTTATTAAACTAAACCCCTTCATCGTGGTACCTTCGTGTGGCAAAAATTTCGTATCGTTACAGTCATTTTACCACTTCATGGCGGGGCATTTTTCAATGTTGATGATGCTGGGCCAGCATGACTATCATTTTTTCCATTTTCCAAAATCCTTCCAAAATTCATCATTTCATTTAACGGTCGTTTATAGGCGCACGAAGTAATCTTCAGGCACTACTCTAAGTTTCACAGGTGACCTTCATTGACGGCCGAGTATTTCAGCCAGGCTTGCAGCCTTGTAAACAGAGCCCAGATTGTGCGGTGTTGTATAACTGTCTTTTGTTCACGAACGTGGCTCATCAGTGCACTGCTGACCTCTTTTCAATAGGGGCCAGATTAGCATGCAGCGGTGCTGTGTGGCTCATCGCTGCGGTGGTGGAGCGCTTTTGTCCCTGGTGGTAATCCGCTTGCTCTCAATGCCCCAAACCCTGGTATACGGTTTCAAAACAAGGCTGGATTATCACACTTTTGTGAGTAAAAAATGTCGGTAATGCCCAGCAGCCTGGTCTTTAGTTCGGAGTACGGTCTTTTGTTACAGGACCCTGTTTCTTTTGTCCGAGTTCGGAGACCCCAGCCACACATATATACCATACGTCTCCGATTCCGGAGTCCCCGGCAGGAAGTGGTTAAGGGGGATGCGTTTCACATAAGATTTGCATTTAATGAAATTGGACAAGAGAGGGCGCAATGTCATTGGTACTTCTGCATTTGGACGTCTCCTTGAACATGGAATTTTACTTTTGATAAGCAGAGTGGATTGTAACGGAGCCCATAAAGGGACTAAGGGAAATAAATGTTTGGATCTCTTTTCTTTTTGTCTTTTGTCACTGTAAATGGGTTGAGAACAATACTTTTGCTTGCATGGGGTCGGCACAAATTGTCATTGTAGGCAGAGTCTCGCAATGTCCGTGCACGTAATGACCAAATATTTCTCCATAGTAATGAACACAAATTGTTTGGGACTGGGAGAATATGGTTGTTGCATCCAGGTATCGTTATGACTGAGCTCGTTATAATGAGAGCTGACTGTAGAAGTAAGCATAACAGTAATGCTCCAGCTCACCTTGCAAAGCATGTGCAATATGCATGTACATTTGTACATAAAGGATTCTCCCATTTTGTTTCTCAATGCATACCCACACATCATGCGGTAATTCATCATTCACAGCAATTGAAGGTCTGCATTGGGCTTTAAAAGGACATAACAGAATTCTTAACAATAGGATGATACAGAATTTTAAAGAGGAAACTTGATACAATCTAGCTGAATGCCTTACCCTTTTGTAATCACAAAGGAGTCTTTCCCCAAGGCTCGTCTTATCCACATCAGTGTCGTGCCAGGCAAGGAAGTCACTGATATCTGAGATCATGGCAATGGCCACCTCGGACTCTCCCAACCACCCAAAAAGGTCACACAGTGGATCAGGCAACTGCACTCCCTCTAAAGTGAGCAAAATGTTGTACTCTTTCACCCTGATTGTGTGGCGCTCATCATTAGAAGGCTGAACTGGAGCCTTCATAGTCCAACGAGCAAAGGCCAATGCAACAAGTTCCGCCTTTATGCCAGTTACAGGCAGACCTCTTTTTTGAAGATATCCCTGAAGTTCTCTCTTGTCCAAAAGTTAAATTTTTCTACATTCATTGTCTTTCCGTGTACTGCATCGTGAGTGGTTTCCATCATCATTTTCCCTCCAGTTCAGGAGCAGGTGTCTGTGATTTAAAGAATAAAAATTTGTTACTGTTAGTCTACGGTTACATATAGCCAGCCACTTCAAACTTGTAGTATGAAGTAGAATGAAGTTTCAATAATTATACATTCAGACCTTAACCCTAACCCGCCTCAATCCTCCAAAATTCCCCAGGTGGTTTTGGAGGATTTTGGCCAGTCATGCGTGCGTCTGGGAGGGCAATGTTCGCCCATAGTTATTGTGCCAGCAAAATCTAGACATGCGTATTTGAATGGAGGGAGGTGGCAAAAATTTTACATACATGTAAGTGTTGTGCGTAAGTCGAGCAAAAACGGCCGGATTTCGACAGATTTTGAAGTTGGAATATCACTAAAGCCCCAAAGTTTTCCTTTGAAAAGTTAGTAGGTGGTGAAAAGGTGTTTTGGCGAGTCTTTGGAATTGTTGGGAACGGTTGTCACTTTACTATATGTAATGTCGTGGAGCGTTAGTATGACCAATCCTGTCCAAAATCGAAGAACAGGAATACATGTACTAACGCTCCACTCAGTAGAGCTAGGTTAAATGCTACAAAATACACTCGTGCTCAGTAGTTCCATAAAGGTTAGCTATTATTATACGGTCTTTAGGGGAAGAAAGCACAAACGGAGGTTTTCTCTGGTACAATTGCAGGGCACTTTTCAAAATGCCATAGTGTACAGAACCATCAAAAAGATGAACCCAGTGAGGCCTACGGAGTAGTGCCTTACTCTTCAGCAAGTAGGCCTTAATTGATTAAGCGTTTAGTGACCAGGGCGGCCGTTAACACCCAATACCCAAGCGAGCGCATCGCAGCTGCAGATGGCCAGCATGTTCTCCCCTTTCCCACCAGCACGCTGTGTTTGACAACGCAGTTCAATGATAAAGCTTTAAAATGAGGTACCAGTTTACAAATGCTGTTTTGTAAAGTTATGAAGTTTTTCCCATTCGAAACCAGAGAGTCATCTTTTCATGAAATACTAATTCAGATTGCTTACATGCAGACTCGTTTGTACAGCATCATGTACATTACACATACAGTAAATCATGTATATGTACAGCGTGTGATGCATGTTGATTCGACAGTACCAAGTGAGATGGCCGCAGGCGTGTTGATGCCACCTCAATTCTTCGAGAAATTGTAGAATCTGGCCAAAAATCGGACGATTCAGATGATGATTCTGATATCGAGGTGTCTACAAAGGTTTGTTTGGTAATTTTTGTTTTGATTGATGATAAAACTACAGCAGTCAATTTGGTTGGTAACGTTCAGCCCATGGTTCAGCAGACGTGACACAGGTCATCAGGCTGATGCATGAAATTTCTTCCTTTTTGTTTCCCGTTTCGGGCACTTATTTTCCTTCATTGTTTTTTACAGATACATGTAGGTATAGATTTTGCCCATATACATGTATGGGGGGCTACATTTTTATAAATGAAAAATAAAGTTCGGAAGAAATGATGAAAACGACCGAATGACATGCATGAACCGATGAACAAATCAGCTGATTGTTTCCAAAATGGCAGCCCCCATGACCCACATGAGCAAATCTTCAAAATGTTGCATGAGTAAGTATTTAGTCTGTGAATTTAACTTTGTTTTTCTCAGAAAGATATGTACATAAAATAACAAGTGATTCCATGCAGCCTTTCAATTTCATTTTTTTCAGCCCAGACAAATCAAAAACATCCTTTTTAGCTCTGCCACATTTGTGCATGGTTGTCATTCCCATTAGTTTTGTTTGTGCACTGCCAATTTTCAACAGACTGAGGCCTATTTTTTTTAGAAGTACGTTTATAGCTATGATTTATTTTCTTGTAGGGCTCTGCATCCGAAGATGCTGGTATAGATTCTGAGGAATCTGTGGGTAGTGCTCCAATTTCCGGTGACAGTGATGCTGCACAATCTGAAGCCCATTCCACTGTCACCCCAAGGCGGAAAAGACACAAGCCTGGCGAACAGAGTAATTGGAGTGAGACGATCCCTTCGAGAGAAATCCCAGTTTACAAGGGTTCATCTCGGCGAAGATTTCTTCACAAACCTTCCAGACTCAACAAATCAGTATGTTGTTTTCAGGTGCCCACCTGCACATCCAAACAAAGCTGATCGATTGGCGACTTCAGACAAAGCATGGTACCCAACAACTGTCAATGAAATGAAAGCACATATTGGCATAAACGTGTCGATGGGTATTGCTCAGCTTCCAGGGGGCACAGATTATTAGAATACTGACAGTGTTCTGCAAAATCATTATGCTGTGCAACAGTTCTCACGAAACAGATTTGAACAGTTGAGTCGCTACCTCCATCTCAGTGATTCCAATGCAGATGATAACACAGACAAATTGCACAAAATTCGTACAATAATAGTATCCTTCGGAGAGAACTTTTGTCAGAATTTCACTCCTGGAGCACAACTGTCAGTGGATGTGGCCATGATTCAGTTTGATGGAAGGCTAGCATGGAAACAATACATGCCAAAGAAGCCAGTGAAAAGGGGCATCAAACTGTGGTGTCTTTGCAACTCGTTAACTGGCTACTGTTCTGCTTTCTATGTGTACACAGGAAAACACACCGATCGAAGTGGAGATGGCCTTCGATTTAATGTTGTAACAAAGTTAACGCAAAAGTTCCAAGATACCAACCGCCATGTGCATGCAGACAATTTCTTTTGTTCGGTAAGGCTACTGGAGAATCTTTTGCAGAATGGCTCATTTTACCGCAGTACTGTTTGCCAAAATAGCAAAAATCTTCCAAAGCAGGTCATCCAAGCAAAATTGAAGAAAGGTGAAAGAAACAAATGATTAACCCACATGGAATTCTTGTTGGCAAATGGAAGGACAAACAAGATGCGAGGATGATAGCAAGTAACAGTGATGGGGGAGATGTGTCGAAATCTAGAATGAAGAACAAAACTGAAGTAAATCATGTTCCAAGTATGGTTGTTATGTACATGTACATGTATAATAAATGCATGGGAGGGGAAGATTACAATGATCAGTTACGTGCTTATTATAATGTTGGTCGATCTGGCAAAAAATGGTGGAAATATATCATGTGGGGTTTGCTCAACATTGCTACTGTCAATGCACACATACTGCATTCACTCTCCCATATGCCATTGCCAGCTGACAAACAGAAGTATTCCCTGAAGCCTTCAAACTAGCACTCATACATCAGATGGTTCATATAACTTCTCTTCTCGGAAAAGGTCTGTCTCAGGGACATTGACAGATACCCAAGTTATATTATTATTATTAAAGGTTTATTAAAAATCACATCGCAACTACATAGTTGAATGGAGTGATTAGTTAAAAGGAAGAATCAAACACTTGGACATGTAACATTAAAAACACTACAAGACGTCAATTGTTAAAAAACATACATTTCAAAGAGGCCCAAAAATACAAGAAGAGAGGATAAAATTAAAATTTAAAAATAGAATTAAAATAAGTTAAACATTTGATCATTTAACAATTGAACATAAAACGGAATTGGACTGTTGAGATACCGTTTTGTGACCCATTTAGGGGTAGTCAGTTTATTTGAATTCCTAAGATCCAAATTGTGTTGATTTCCTCCTGGTTGCTGGCAGCCACTGACGGTATTGATTGGAGCGATAGGGTAAGCTGGCAAATGTATGACATAATGAAATCCTATGAGATTGGAGGGTTGGAATATTGCACAATTTTAAGGCATCATCATAACTGGTATAATCACTACCAAATGCAACCGAATCCGGAGTGCACGTTTCTGGATTCTCTCCAACGAGGCGCACTGCTCATCATTAAGGCCTGGGTGCTAAACAGACACTGCATATTCAGCTACAAGGCGTACGTACATGTAACCAATATAAACAGTAACAAGATCTGCAGTTGTAAGACCAAACTTTTTGAGTACTTTCAACGTATAAAGTCGACTATTGGCCCGTTTCAGCATGTCATTTACATGGATGTCCCATTTAAGGTCGGGGCAGATATGCACACCCAGGATTTTGACACTGTCTGTCTCGTGAAGAGGTTCATTGCACAAAGATAATGGTTCCATATGAGGCTTGGTTTTCATAAAAGAGATGTTCATAACCATGCATTTTGTAGGATTTAAGCGCACGTGGTTATTGTTTGACCATTTTTCAAGCTCATTCAATTCTTGTTGCATAATATTATTGACACTGTCTTTACTTGTCATTTCAACAAGGGTCATATCATCCACATGTTTAAACGTATATTATTAGAAATGGCTGCATCATTAACCATCCCTAGAAAACCTATAGGGTCAAATTTTGTTCCCTGAGGGACCCCTGCTTTGAGGGGTTTGAAGTCTGAAAAAGTACCTCTATATTTGATACACTGAACACTATTTGATAAAAAACTGCAAGGCCAGGGAATTATGCAGGGTCTTGCTCCCATTGACAATAGTTGGTTAATAACAATGTTGTGGTCCACAGGATCAAATGCTTTACTGTAATCCATAACCACAAGCGTAGATACATGTATGCCTCCTAGTTTTTCGGCATGCTTGGTTGGCATATCTACTAAAAGAACGAGATAATGACTAGTAGACCTGCCGGGGCGATTACCATATTGATTCAAATCGAGGCTGGATTGAATGTCCTCAAATAACCATTTAACAATATAACCTTCAGCAAGTTTGGCAAAATGGTCTGTCAGTGAAATAGGACGCAATTTCTGCCAATTGGCTGGTTTCATCTTGGGAAGAGGAAAAACTATAGCACGTTTCCATTGGACTGGTACAAAACCTTGTTGATATGATGCATTAATTATTTCAGTGAAAGGCTTAGAAAGTTTATAAGCAAATTCGCGAACAAGTCTTGCTGGAACATTATCTGGACCTCTTGCTTTGTTGAGTTTTAACTTTACGTAGATCTCTGTAATCTTCCATGAGTACACTGTAGGACACTGTACAAATATGACAACAAATTGGATATATCCAGTTCAGGCAAGCCACTTGCAACATTTATGAATTGCTTGTTGATAATTTGGCAAA